AGACCCGAGGGCTCTAGATAATGTGTTTCTGTCAATTCAGTGACCCCGAGACCCAAAACTATAATTAACATGCTGCTTCTGCTTCTGTAAACTGCTTTTTTGCAAACCAGGTTCCTCATTCCAAACCTTGAGATGTAATCAATACCTTTGTGATTTTTGCCTATATAAATCTGGTTTTGCGGCCATCTTATCACTATGAGATTTGGGAGAGCAAAATGGCCCCTCATAGTCCCAGATTGCAATAAATGTGACTCTTTAATTCGACTTCTTGAGGCGTCCTTGTGTGATTCGTGGGGTACATTACAACAGGTTCCATTTCAGACCATCCTTTGTGGGTACTTGCGGACTCTCGGGTTTGTAAGGCCGCCCTGCACACTGTCAGATGTAGTGTGTGGCCTTTTTCGTCCGTATTTTTAATACTGCCAACAGCCCTCCAGAAAGGTTTATCAGTTATAAACTTCGTCCCATTTCTCCAGACCCCTAACAACTCTTGAGTATGTTTACAACTTTTGGCTAATTTGAAAGTTGGGAGTAAAGACACTTGGATTATGTGAAACCTAAATGCTATGTTTCCAGCCGCCTCTGGCATCCTGGAGGAAGGTAACTGAAAAAATTCGGCAGAGTTTAGCTTCGTGTGTCCTCAGTGGGAGGGAACGCCAGGTTAATTGCAGCAGGTAGTCCAGAGAAGGTCAGGAAGGGCAATTAGCAGGGGAAGCGAGCTTTACAAACTCTTTTATGGGAAGGGCAATGGTTATAGGGAGGTTTCGCAGTTTTAAACTTGCGGTGGGTACGTCACTGCAGATTAGCTGCAACTGCTTTCCGTAGGGAAAAGCACATCCCGACCACCGGGCGCGGTTCAGGTCCCGAGCCCTGCGCTGCACAGGCAGTGGCGCTGCAGCTACTGGGGACCGATGGGCAGCGGGGCAGGAGGACCCGGGCGGCCGCCCCGCCGTCCCACAATGCCCCGCTCCAGCCACCTGAGGGCGGAGAGAAAGGACAGCGGCGGGGGGAGGGATCCACGGCGAACTCCGAGAAGTGCGCACGCGCACTGACCCCGGCGGGCCCTAGCAACCAGAGCAGTGACAGTAGCAACCGCCGGAATGGTGAGTCTCTTCCAGGCCTGGTAGCCAAGCCGAGAAGAGATTGGAAGTGGGAAAGGGTGATTGTAGAGTGGTGAGGGTTGGGAGGGCGGAGGGTGTCCTTGAACAGCGGAAGGGAGCCCGGGAGCGGATGCTGGCTCCTTGCAGTCAGAGGCCTGGGGCGAAGGAGAAGCTGGGGGGTCTGGGGTGACGGTGCTTGGGCGGATTAGAGATTGGGTTAATGGGGAGGGACCCTGGCAAACAGAAGGGAAGGCAAAGAGCAGGAAATTCTCGAAGAAGAGGGGCTTGGGGTGGGAACGGTGATGGAAGGGAGTGGGTGAATGAGGATATCTTTTACAAAGAAGTGATGCCCCCCTCCGCCGCTAGCGAGATGGAGTGGGGGAGCTGGCTACGAGAGTGATGCGTGTCACACCATTGCAGCAGTATTTAAACCTGTGATGTGCGCAGGTTGCCCTGAATGACTGTGAGTGCAGTTATTAGGTAGCTTTGTGAAACCCAGTCTGATAGAATGCATTAGGGTACTGTTTCTCAAAGGTCAGTGTGCGTATGTATGATTTTAGTGGGCCCAAATACTATATAAGCTTGTTGGAATACAAATTATGAATTTTTAATATGATGGGGGAGGTTCAGGCATGTGCATTTTGACAATGCACCTCAAGTTATTCTAAAATTGGAGTGGGCCCCACCACACTTTGAGAAATACTGCCTTAGCTTTGAAATCTGTCATCTGTCTATCCAATGAAAACCGTTATGAAGTGATGGCTTGACCTAGTGATGCTCCTCAAGTACTTAAAATGTGCTCTGTCTTGCTTGCATGCTTGGCAGTTCCCACTAGTAGCGTGAAAAGGGATGTTGTTGGTTAGTTATAGACCCAGCCAAAGCTGTTCAGCAAAGGATGTGATTGTCTGGCTGGGATGGAGATGTTAATGAAGAATAAGTATAATTAGTTGTCTTCATTATGTGACTCCAATGCTACATAGGTGGGCAGAAACTGAGCCCAAGAAGTGGAAATGATAAGGAAGCCATTCATGCCCACCCTCAACCACGAGATTAAACACCACTCTTTTTAAAGTAGTCCCCGTCCCTTCCTTACTTTATTCCACAGGCATTTAGCTAAAACCACTGCCAAGGAAAGGAAAAAGTTCTGGAACCTAGGTTTATATTCAGGCAAAGAAACAATAAGCTCTAAATCCCGCAAGCATGAACCATAAGAATTATTGCAAATCTTCAAATAAAGAATCAGAACCAGTAATTAGATGAAGTTAGCGGAGGCTGTAAACTGTTAGTTCTGGTGCCCTCCAGAATAACAGGCCCACATAATGTGTTATTTACTTATAAAGGACTTTCCTTACATATTTTTTTATTGATTGATTTTGAGAAAGAGAGGGAGAGAGAGAGAGAAAGAAACATCTATTTGTTGTTCCCCCCCATTTATGCATTTATTGGCTGATTCCTGAATGTTCTCTGACCTGGGATCCAACTGCAACGTTGGTGTATTGGGACCACACTTTAACTAACTGAGCCATCTGACCAGGGCCTCACATAGTTGTTTTTTTTTTTTAATTAAAAAAAATTAGCTTTCAGTGTCTTAAAAAATGATATTTCACAAGACTGAGATTTCTGGCTTCTTTGAAAAATCAGAAATACTATATTTCACCATAAGACTTTTTTTTTTACATTTTTATATTATTGAAAATGTTTGTATTACTGTCATATAATTGGCAGCATCTTTTCTTAATGGTACATAAAATAAGGATGTTGCTTTCATTAATGGAGTTTTCATGTTTGAAGAAATGTGATATTAGGGTAATTCTTGTCCCAAGTCCCCCCTGTCAACAGTTTTCTAGAGCTAAGTAGGGGCTCTTTACATGGCCAGCTTTATCCAGTAATGATGTTCCATTGGTTCTTTAAGCATTTCAGTTTTTGATTCCTGCCCTCTAGAGAGGAACTAGTGACCTTCCGAGATCAGACATGATTGGGTGTGTTCAGGATGGTATGGCCTTAGACCAGCGGTTCTCAACCTGTGGGTCGCAACCCCTTTGGGGGTCGAACGACCCTTTCACAGGGGTCACCTAAGACCATCGGAAAACACATATATAATTACATATTGTTTTTTTGATTAATCATTATGCTTTAATTATGTTAAATTTGTAACAATGAAATTGAGGGTCACCACAACATGAGGAACTGTATTAAAGGGTCACAGCATTAGGAAGGTTGAGGACCACTGCCTTAGAATTAATGACCTTATAAACCAATTTATAGATAGTTAGATTGCTTCCAACTTGAAAGTGTTCTTATGTGTCTTTTTATGGACCCATGCAAGGATTTCTCTGGGAAATATACTAGTAGTGGGATTGCAGAGTCGTAGGGTCTATGCAGATTTAATTTACCTACACACTGTCAGACTGCTTTCCAGATTGGCTTTACTAGTTTTTGCTTCTCTCTACATTGTCACCAACTTTCTAACTTTTGCCAGTCCGAGGATGTTTTTTAGCATTCCATTGTTTTATTCTGCATTTCACCAATTCTTAATGAGTTTGAATACCTTATGATATTCTTGTTAGTCATCTGGATTTCAGTTTCTGTGCATATTCTGTTTATGTTTTTTGCCAACTTTTCCATATTTCTTTTGGTTCTGAATTTTAGGAGTTCCTTATATATCTAGATATCAGCCCTTTGTTGGATTTACATTGAAAATATCTTCTCCCAGTTTTTTGTTTACTTGGTCAACAGTGTTCTTCACTTGCTGAACTCCATTTGTTCTAATATTTGTGAGTTTATTCTATGTGATTTCTATATAGATGACCATCTGCACAAAGTGAGTTTTGTTTCCTACTTTTAACCATTGCAGTTTGTATTTCTCTTTATTATAACATTTTAAAGTCTCTCGTACCATGTTAAATAGTAGCAGTGATAGTAGACATCCTTGATGTGTTTGGGATCTTAAAGAGAATACTTTTAATGTTACCATTCCAGTCTGGCTCACCTTACCCACCTCATTTAAAACAAACATTCTCCACATACATATACACAGATCCTGATATCCTTTACCAAGCTCAGCATTTTCTCTTTCTTTAGCAATTGTCATCTTCTAATATAGTGTATACTTTCTTTATTTTCAAAATTGTATTGCCATTTGTCTCCTGCTAATAGTTCTATGAAGGCAGAGATCTTTGTTTTATCTGTTGATATATACTAGGTATGTAGAAGAATGTTTGGTATATGGTAGGTGCTCAATGAATATTTGCTGAAATGAATGAATTTCTCCATTAAGTATGGTGCTTATTATAGCTTTTTGGTATGTAGCTTTTATTTTTTAAATCCTTTCCTGAGGATATGTTTTTATTGATTTTAGAAAGAAAGAAAGGGGGCAGAGAGAGATAGAAACAGCATGTGTGAGAGAAACATCGATTGGTTGGCTCCCATACACATGACAGGGGATTGAACCCGAAACCTAGGTATGTGCCCTGATCAGGAATTGAACTCACAACCCTTTTGATGTATGGGATGATGCTCCGATCAGCTGAGCCACCTGGGACCCCTTTAACTCTTAAATGAGAGCTTTTAATATCAAATGTAGACTTTATGGCCCCTGGCCAGGTTTTTCAGTTGGTTTAAATGTTGTCCCCATATGCCAAGGTTGCGAGTTAGATGCCTGGTCAGGGCACATACAAGAATCAACCAATGATGCATAAATAAGTGGAACAACAAATTGATCTCTCTCTCTCTCTCTCTTTCTTTCCTTCCCTCCCTCTCTCTTTTCCTTTCTCTCTAAAACCAAGAAATAAATTTTTAAAATTAAAAAATGTAGAACTTTATCAAGTGCTTTTCTCCACTTATTGAAATAAATGTGATTTCCCCCCTTTTAATCCAATAATAAATGATTTACCTTTATAATTTTTTCTGTTGTTAAACAATCCTTATGCTCCTGGGATAAACTTTTCTTTATCATGTTCATTATACATCATTGGCTTTGGAGACCTATTATCATATCTAGGCTTTTCAAATCTGTGTTGAGAAATGAAGAGGGCTCCTTATCTCGTTATAGCATCAAGTTATTCTAGCCTCTTAAATACGCTGGCAGCTTTCCCTCTTTTTCTGGTTCCTGAAACAACTTGTATAACAGGGAGTATCTGTTCCTTGAAAGCTTGGTAGAACTCATTTGTAAAATTAGGCTTGGAGCTTTAGGGGAGGAGGATGAGGGTAAATCTCTTCAATTTTCTTTTTAATGATTTAAATAGTTATTGGTCTGATTCTTCTTGTGACAGTTCTGGCACTTTTCTGGTTTTTGTTTGTTTTTAGAAATGTATACTTGGCCTAGCTTTTCAAACTCATTACCATGTATTTGCTTATCATATTTTATTTTAAAATCCCTGTGGTATCTGTATTATTTCCCCTTATTTAGTTTATATTTTTAACTTGTATCTCTCTCTCTCTTTCTTTTAAATCCTCACTCAAGGATATTTTTACCATTGATTTTTTAGAGGGAGTGGAAGGGAGAGGGAAAGACAAAGAGAAACACTGATGTGAGAGAGACTCATCAGTTGGTTGCCTCCCACATGCCCCCAACCAGGGCCGGGAGCCTGCAACCAAGATAGGTGCCCTTGAGTGGAATTGAACCCAGGACCCTTCAGTCCAAAGACTGATGCTCTATCCATTGAGCCAAACTGGCTAGGGCTATCTCTCGTTTTTGATCAATCAGGCTTGCCAGAGATTTAAGAACTAACTTTTAGTTTTATTAATCTTTTCCCTGCTGCTCTGTTTCTCATTGACTTCTTCCTTTGTATTTCCTATGCCTTTTTTGGGTTTATAATGATGTACTTTTTCAAATATCTTGAATGCTTAGCTTATTTGTTTTCTATCTTTTGTTATCTCTTCTTTTAGAATAAATGTATTTGAGGCTGTAAGTTTCCTTTTACGTGTTATATGTATTTCTCATATTTTTACTTTCTTGTCTTTTATTTTATTATTTTACTTTAATTTATAATTTTTTAACCCAAGAGTGATTTATTAGTATGCCCTTATTTTCTAGACATAATGCTATATACTTTTAAAACTTTCCCTTTGTTTTTGTTTAAGATTCTCCCTCTCTCCCTCTCTCTCTCTCTCTCTCACAGTGGTCCTCAACCTTCCTAATGCCGCGACCCTTTAATACAGTTCCTCATGTTGTGGTGACCCCCAACCATAAAATTATTTTCGTTGCTACTTCATAACTGTAATTTTGCTACTGTTATGAATCGTAATGTAAATATCTGATATGCTATATGTGTTTTCCGATGGTCGCGACCCACAGGTTGAGAACCGCTGCTTTAATATGTTTTTATTAATTTCAGAGAGGGAGGGAGAGGGTGAGGATCACTGATTGGCTGCCTCCTGCCTGCCCCACCCTGGGGATTGAGCCTACAACCTGGGCATGTGCCCTGACCGGGAATCGAACCATGGCCTCCTGGTTCATGGGTCAACACTCAGCCACTGAGCCTCGCTGGCAGGGCTCTCTTTCTTTTTTTTAAAGGAACTCGAGCAGTAATTCAATGGATGTCTTCCTTTCTCATCTTTAAAGTTTTAAATATCATAATAAATGGAATCTAAGGTATTATCGATTATTAAGTGCGACATTATTTTATGTTCTAAGAAAGAAAAATACATTGGAATTGAACTATAACAAATAATTTCTTATCACTTAGAATTTTTATTTTGTACTTATTGGCAGAGTTCTTTTAAATGTATTTAGGCATATAGACTTTTATTATATGTCATCCTTTGCAAGCATAAAAAGGAATTTATGTATATGAGATAAAATGGTTCTTGTTTTTCTAAAACTTCACCACTGCCACCTGGCCACGACAATTGTAAATTGTTCCTGGTTAGAAGATGCGTCCAAATTTCAAAGATGTTAACATGTGAAAGAAGATGTAGATCTTAGAATCAATGAAATGACATATTTTAATATCAAGCTTTGAAAGCTATATATTTTTTGAAAACCAAGTGGGAGTTATGTAAATGGACATTACATCATGATTCCCTTAATTTCTCGGAGAGGTATTTAAATGAATCTTTCTGATTTGAGAAAATTAAAAAACTCTTTGCATATAAAGTCTCAAAGAAACAAGTTAATTTTTTAAATGGTAGCTACGAATACTAGTAATTACTGCATGAAAAATTAACAGATTAGCCCCAGCCAGTTTGGCTCAGTGGATAGAGCGTTGCCCTGCGGACTGAAGGGTCCCAGGTTCGATTCCGGTCAGGGGCATGTACCTTGGTTGCAGGTACATCCACAGTGGGAGGTGTGTGGGAGGCGGCTGATCAATGTTTCTCTCTATCGATGTTTCTAACTCTCTATCCCTCTCCCTTCCTCTCTGTAAAAACTCAATAAAATATATTTTTTTAAAAATTAACAGATTACACCAATAAAGACAGCCTTGTTTTTCCTTCTCTTTTTAAGGCAAAAGCAACAACAATCAAAGAAGCCCTAGCCAGATGGGTGAGTATATGAGTTTTTAACTTCTTTTAGAAACCATGCAAGGAGAATTTTTAGATAGTTATTTAAATCTGACCATTCAGTAAAAGGGACCTTTGTGGTATTGGAACTACTTAGTTATGTTGACTGTGGTGGTGGATACATGAACCCACATAGGTGATAAAAATGTGTAGAACTTAATGCACCCATACAAACACAGTCACACCATATATATAAATGAGTACATGTAAAATTGGGAAAATCTGATTTAAATCAGTGGATTGTATCAATATAAATATTCTGGTTGTGATATACTTAGAAAATATTATTAGGCAGCATATATTGGTAATTAAATTTTAATTTTGTATACTTAGTACCAAAATTAAACTCTAAGGTATACCTTAGTAGTAAATTACTGCAGAGTAAATAGTTGTGACCTCAGCTGTGCTGTAAAGAGAATATCTTCCAAAATTCTTGATATTTTGGGGTTCTAGTTCAGACTGAATTATGCATAAAAACAGAAAGATGAAATGACAAAGAAAACAGTTGATCTTATATAGGTCTGAACCTGATATTTAAGGAAACGTTATTTAGAGACAATGAATTCTTTCCAGGAAGATGTTTTTGTTGTTGTGTTTGCTTTTATTAATTGATAGGCTCTTAAAGGATCTATAATAATCAAAGCATAGTATGCTAATTAGACTGGATAGCCAAACGACCTTCCCGACGTCCTTCTGGACGAAGCCAGGGCTTCGAGGGCCAAGGCAAGCCACCGCAGCTGTGAGGGCCAAGCCTCTTGCACGAATTTCATGCATCGGGCCTCTAGTTTTAAATATTACAGAAATTAGTTATTTTCTTTCTTCTTTTTTCCCCTTTGGTTCAGATCTAACAATGAATTACTTTAGTTTTCCATGTAGAACCTTGATTATCAGAGTCAACAGTAAAGGTCAATAAGTGAACTATAAAGAATGCACAGAATTGCCCTGGCTGGTTTGGCTCTGTATAGGCAGTGGTTCTCAACCTGTGGGTCGCGACCTCTTTGGGGGTCGAACGACCCTTTCACAGGGGTCGCCTAAGACCATCCTGCATATCAGATATTTACATTACGATTCATAACAGTAGCAAAATTACAGTTATGAAGTAGCAATGAAAATAATTTTATGGTTGGGTCACAACATGAGGAACTGTATTTAAAGGGCCAGAAGGTTGAGAACCACTGGTATAGAGTGTTGGCCCATGACTGAAGGGTCCCAGGTTTGATTCCAGTCAAGGGCATGTACTTACCTCGGTTGTAGGGTTGGCCCTGGTCGGCCCTTGAGGGAGGCAACCAGTCTATGTGTTTCTCTCACATTGATGTTTCTCTCTCTCTGTCTCTCCCTCTACTCTCTCTAAAAATCAATGGAAAAAATATCCTCAAATGAGAATTAACAACAACAACAAAAAATTAAGAATGCACAGAATTGCCCTGGCCAGTTTGGCTCAGTGAATAGAGCATCGGCCTGTGGATTGAAGGGTCCTGGGTTAGATTCAGGTCAGGGGCACATGCCCGGGTTGTGGGCTCGATCTCCAGTGGGATGTGTGTGGGAGGCGGCCAATCAATGATTCTCTCTCATCATTGATGTTTCTGTCTCACTCTTTTCCTCTCCTCCTCTCTGAATTCAATAAAAATATAGTTAGAAAAAAAATGCACAGAACTACTAATTTCTAATAATTATTTTGAAATAAAGATAGAAAAGCCTTGGGAAATTCTAGCCTCCTTTAACTCCACATTACAATCAGGGATCATTTTTTTCCAAATTAATTTTTATCACAGGAAGAGAAAACCAGTCAGAAGCCATCTGAGGCCAAAGAGGTAAAGCTTTATGCCCAGATCCCTCCTATAGAGAAGATGGATGCGTCCTTGTCCATGCTTGCTAATTGCGAGTAAGTTCTCGTCTTTATTCATCCTTCTGGTTGTCTGGACAATTAAAGAATTATTCCCCCATCATATTCCCAGGTTTAAGGAATTCAGTTTTTCATTAGTAGTTCTCGGGAGAGGGGGATGACTAGAAAATATGCAGATTTGATCAGTAATTTACACTGTACAGTAATTGACTTTACTGTATCAAGTAAAAAAATGAATAATTCCTCTTCAAGTCAAATCAGAAAGGATATGATCACATGTTCTAGAGTCAAACTTTTTGGGTTTTAAATTTGGCTGTGCCACTTTCTGGCTTTGGAATATTAGGCAAATTGTCTCATATCTTTGTACCTCAGTTTCTCAAAATAAGGATACTAATATTTCACAAGATTGTTGTAATGCTTAAAATAGTTAATGCATGTATAATACTTAGAAGAATAACAGGCATGCATTAAATATTCAATAAAATTAGTTTTTATTATATTTTTGCATGAAATTTACTAAGATATTAAAAACATTTTGTCAATAAAGGAAGACTAAGAATTGTATATATTCTCCCTTTAAAAATTTGTCTTTATATAATTAAAGTATGTATAGAAAAAATCTAAATAAATATATATGAACTATTAAAAATTCCTTGAACTAAGTGATCTGGGGGAAAGTGTGGGGTGGTTAGGATTACATATGACTTCTTACAATATACATTTCTGAAAGATTTAACACATGAGAAAATAAAATGTATTGTTCTGTTAGATGGTTTTAAAACTTAACTACATATCATGGACATCTCAAGTTGGTGTCAATAGCCCAGTGTCATTTGTTTTCATGACAGTATAGTAATCCTCAGTTGATGGATGTTTATAGACTTCCCCCCATTTTTTTGCTATCATAATATAATCAATAACCTAATTCATATAACTTTTGGTATTTGCATTAGTATTTCAATGCAATGTATTCCTAGAAATGAATTACTGTGTCAAAGAATACATGCATTAAAATATTTAATAGATAACCAAATTGCACTCAAAGAGGTTTTTTTAAATTTCCTACAATGAGTCTATGTTAACTTTTGTAATCAGAAAAAACTATGAAGATTTTAAAATGAAGGAATATATGCCATTTCTGAAGGGGATAAAAGAATTCACTGACAAAAGGAAGTATGACTTAAATATCATCTTTTATGGGCACTAGAGAAATAATCTCTGATATACTATTTACAATTTTTTCATATTAATTCAAGTTTTCCTTTGTTCTTTTTAAGGAAGCTTTCACTGTCGACAAACTGCATTGAAAAAATTGCCAACCTGAACGGCTTAAGTAAGTGATCCACAATAGCAGATGGTTCTTGGATTTTCTAGTTATTGGAATAAACATTCCAGAGACACTACGTAATCCCAGAAGCCGGCACATGTTTTAACCACAGTAATTGTCAGATGACAGAGAGAATATAGAAATCATTTGTCTTAAGTTTGATTATCCAAAGAAAATTACAGATATATGAGACCTGAACATTTTAAATATATTTTAAAGCTAAGGGTTTGAATTGAGATATCTTAAATTTAAAAATCAGATTTTTTGTTATATTTTTGTGTTCGGATTTGTCTTGTGTTTCATACTGGTTATATTTAACTTTTAATTTCTCATCATCCCTGTTTTTCCTGTGCTTCTTAAATTTGTTAATGACATTATCACCTACCAAGTTGCCAAGGCCTCTGACTCTTGTGCTAGTTTCCCATGGCTACTGAAACTTGATGGCTTAAAATAACAGACATTTATTCCCTCCCAGTTCTGGAAGCCAGAGTCTGAAATCAGTTTCACTGGCCAAAGTCAAGGTTTTGTCAGCCCCACTCCCTACGGAGGCTTTAGCGGAGAATCTGTTCCTTGCCTCTGCTAGATTCTGAGGGCCGCCACATTCCTTGAACCACATCACTCCCGTCTCTGCCTCAGTGGTCATATTGCATTCTCTCTTTTTTTGTCTGTGTCTAGTTTTTCTCTTTTGAGTTTACTTGTGATTGCATTTAGGGAACACCTGGATAATTGAGGATACTTACCTTAAGATTCCTAGCTTATTCACAAGTGAAGAAACAAACATTAAAACAAGGTATTAATATTTTGCCTATCAAGTTGGCAATGACTTGTTTATTTATTTATTTATTTTAATATATATATTTTTTACTGATTTCAGAGAGGAAGGGAGAGGGAGAGAGAGATAGAAACATCAATGATGAGAGGGAATCATTGATTGGCTGCCCCCTGCACACCTCCTACTGAGGATCAAGCCCACAACCCAGGCATGTGCCCTTGACTGGAATCGAACCCGGGACCTTCAGTCTGCAGGCTGACAATCTATCCACTGAGCCAAACCGGCAAAGGTGTCAATGACTTTTAAAAAGTATAATATTTACCCAGCCAGCATGATTCAGTAGTTGAGCATGGTCGACCTATGAACCAGGAGGTCATGGTTTGATTCCCAGTCAGGGCACATGCCTGGGTTGCAGGCTTGATCCCCAGGGTAGGGTGTGCAGGAGGCAGCCAATCAATGATTCTCTCTCATCATTGATGTTTCTATCTTTCTCTTCCTCTCCCTACCTCTCTGAAATCAATAAAAAAATATTTTTAAAAATGATTAATAAAATGTGATTCTTGCCCCCAAGGAGTTCATTATCTAAAGAGACAGAACATATTCCTCACTATGAAAATGACTAATATTTCTTGAGCATTTATATGTACCAGGCACTATTTTAAGTCCTTTATATACACTGACTCATTTTATTATTCACAATAGTGCCCTTGCTGGTTTGGCTCAGTGGATAGAGCATTGGCCTGAGGACTAAAGGGTCCCAGGTTCAATTCTGGTCAAGGGCATGTACCTTGGTTGCAGGCTCTTCCCCAGCCCGGGCCCTGGTTGGGGCTCGTGCAGGAGGCAACCAATTAATGTGTTTCTCTCACATCGATGTTTCTCTCTGTCCTTCTCTTCCACTCTCTCTAAAAATCAATGGAAAAATATCCTCTGGTGAGGATTAATACAATAGTTATGAAGTAGGTAATTATTATTATAATCCAAGATCGTCTTTTATAAATGTTTACAAAGAAAGAGTAATTAAATTAATTAAAACCAAAGTTTATATAACATATATGCCTGATACACACACAGACACAAACTCACCATTTATTGTGTACTTACCATGGATTAGGCATTAGGCTGAATGTTTTATTTTATATATATGTGTGTGTGTATATATATATATATATATAATCTGATTTCAGAGAGGAAGGGAGAGGGAGAGAGAGATAGAAACATCATTGATGACAGAAAATCATTGATTAGCTGTCTCCTGTACGCCCCACACTGGGATCCAGCCCACAACTCAGGTATGTGCCCTGACTGAGATTCGAACCCTGACCTCCTGGTTCATAGGTTGATGCTTAACCACTCAGCAACACCGGTCGGACTAGGCTGAATGTTTTAGACAATTATCTCAGTTCTTTTTTTAAAAAATAATTTTTTTTATTTTATTGATTTCACAGAGGAAGGGAGAGGGAGAGAGAGACAGAAACATCAATGATGAGATCGAATCACTGATCGGCTGCCTCCTGTACGCCCCCCACCAGGGATCTAGCCCGCAACCTGGGCATGTGCCCTTGACCGGAATCGAACCTGGGACCCTTCAGTCCACAGGCCAATGCTCTATCCACTGAACAAAACCAGCTAGGGCTATCTCAGTTTTTATATGCTTATAAAATAAATACTGTATTTTTTTATTTTACATGATAAAACTGAGATTCAAAGAGGTTTGGTTGCTTCCCTAGAAAGTTGGGGTTTGAACTCAGTTAATTGGTTTTGTATTCTTAACTATCAATTTATGGATGTTATAGAACAGTGCCATCCAATAGAATTGTCCGCACATTCCCAAAACAGTTGCCACTACCCTTACACAGCTAGTGTGACTGAGAAACTGAATTTTAATTGTATTTATTTTTAATTAAGTTAAATAGCCATGTGACTAGTAGTTACCATATTGAACAGTGTAGTTATTGAAGTTTAAGTTGTGAAAACTAAATGTATAATTTATGCATAAGTAATCAAGTAGTTTTTTTAGAACAAATGAGATTTCCTGTGTTTTACTAGAAATCTTTTTTTAATTTTGAAAATAATACATGTACATGGTTTTATGTAAATAGTTCAAAAGAAGTCTTCTGACCATACACTCTCAGTTCCTCCCCCACAGCAACCACTGTTTCTTCTTCCTTTTTTCTATTCCACAAATAATCTATAGATACACAGATAGAAACATCCTTATAAAAAACACAAATAGGCATCTTTTAAACCAGTGGTTCCCAAACTTATTTGGCCTACCGCCCCCTTTCCAGAAAAAATATTACTCAGTGCCCCCTGGAAATTAATTTTTTAAAAATTTTAATAGCAATTAAACAGAAAGATATATGTATTAATGTTTCTACCTTTTTCGTAAAATATAGTAAAGAAAGGTGTAAATTAGGAACATTGAAGTTTGAAATTATGAAACTATTTATTGAACTCAGAATAGAAAGGTAATACAAAAAAAGTTAAAACAAATGCACCTGTGGCCATCACCGCCCCCCTGGATCGCTGCAGCGCCCACCAGGGGGCGGTAGCGCCCACTTTGGGAATCACTGTTTTAAACCAAATCACAATCTAATTATTTAAAAGACTGAAAGTAAAAGATTTAAAAAATACTAAATTTGATTTCTAATCCTTTGTGGAGTGAGGTGTACTATTCTTAAATATGTTTTCTATTATGAGTCCTCATACCATAAAAGATTTGAAGTATATACATGCTCTCAAATCTAAAGTTCAAATCTTCTCTGCTCTTATTTTATCCCTCTAATATTTTTATAAGCCATCAATTTAAGATCATGCATTCTAAATAGCTAACAATTAAAAAAAATTAATACTGGCATGATGTGAAATCTCAGTTGTAGTGTTTACCTTATTTTCTTTTAAATATATTTTTATTGATTTCAGAGAGGAAGGGAGAGGGAGAGATAGAAACATCTGTGATGAGAAAAAATCATTGATTGGCCGCCTCCTGTGGCCACCTCCTGCACACCCCCAACTGGGGATCGAGCCCCAAACCCAGGCATGTGGCTTGACCGGAATTGAACCTGGGACCCTTCAGTCCACAGGCCAATGCTCTATCAACTGAGCCGAACCGGCTAGGGCATGTTTACCTTATTTTCTACTTGATTACCACTTTTAATTAATACAGCCTTTCTTACTCTTATACAAATATATTTATTATATAAAATTTATTAAAGCTATAGTATACTAGATTTACAATTGTGTAATATGATTCTCATAAACAAAAAATTGCTTTTTTTCCCCCCCGCTACAGAAAACTTGAGGATATTGTCTTTAGGAAGAAACAACATAAAGAACTTAAATGGACTGGTAGGTTGCTATTTATTGCTTTACAAAAGCATATACTTCTTTCTTAGTATGAAAATAACACTTGTCCATTGCAGAAATTTTATAAAGTAGAAAAGTAACTTTAAAAAGTCCCAAAGCCCTGGCCAGTTTGGCTCAGTGGATAGAGTATCAGCCCTCGGACTGAAAGGTCACGGGTTTAATTCCCTGTCAAGGGCACATACCTCATGTGGGAGGCAACCAATTGATGTATCTCTCTCACATCGATCTTTCTCTTTCTCTGTCTCTCCCCCTCCCTTCCTCACTCTCTAAAAAATCAATGGAGCCCAGCTAGTGTGGCTCAGTGGTTGAGCATTGACCTATGAACCGGGAGGTCAGGGTTCGATTCCCAATCAGCGCACACGACCACTCTAATCTGTAAAACATGGAATGTTAAATTGAATGAAGGGGTCTATTGAAAACTACTGGTTGCATAACCCATGGACACAGACAATAGGATGGTAAAGACCTGGGGGAGGGCAGGCAAGGAGGGCTGGAAGGGTCAATGGGGAGAAAAGAGGACATATGTAATACTTTCAAAAATAAAGATTTCAAATTTAAAAAAAAAGATTAAAAAATAAAATAAACCTGGAAAACTGACTATTAAGGTACATTATAAGCCCATTTGTATATATGCTCTGGCCTCTGCCTTCCTTTCGTATCTCATTTCATATTACTCTTCTTTCTAGCTGTAATCTCCAGCTACTGGCCTTTCTCTTCCTGGAATATACCAAGTCCATTCCCACCTGAATTTTGTACTTGCTGTTCCCTCTGCCTAAAAAACTCTTAGTTCCTATAGATTTCCACATTACTTGCTCCTTCTTAACTTTCACACTTCATCTCAGATGTCACCTCCTCAAAAGTGACCCAGCTACCCTATATCTAATGTGGCAATAACTCTTGATACACACACACACATATATATATATAAATTACAGTCTGGAAAAATTTTTAAATTGGTTTCAGAGAAGAAGGGAGAGGGGGAAAGAGATAGAAACATCAATGATAAGAGAGAATCATTGATCGGCTGCCTCCTGCATGTCCCCCACTGGGGATGGAGCCCACAACCTGGGCATGCCCTTGACCAGAATCAAACCCGGAGCCCTTCAGTCCGCAGGCTGATGCTCTATCCACTGAGCAAAACCAGCTATGGCTACTGTCTGAAATTTTTATTGGTTTGTTCTTCTCCATCTTGTTCATCCCTCCGCCACCCCCACCCCTGCCCTCTCTTTCTGTCGCTCGCACAAATCCTAATGAGCACGTCAGTTTTGTTCATTAGTATCTACCTTAGTGCTTAATACATGTAGTAGGCATTCTATAAGTATTTAATGAGTGACTCAATATGTTTTATTACTAATTATAAAATCTATTAGGTTAAATTTTTAATTCTAAAAGTAATATATGTTCATTGTAAAAAACAAATCAATGCCGAACCGGTTTGGCTCAGTGGATAGAGCGTCAGCCTGCGGACTGAAGGGTCCCAGGTTCGATTCTGGTCAAGGGCATGTACCTTGGTTGTGGGCACATCCCCAGTAGGGGGTGTGCAGGAGGCAGCTGATCGATGTTTCTCTCTCATCGATGTTTCTAACTCTCTATCCCTCTCCCTTCCTCTATGTAAAAAATCAATAAAATATATTTAAAAAAACAAAAACAAATCAAGCAATTTATAAGTATATGAAATACACTATGAATTTCTTTTTTCTCCATACCTACTTCCCCAATTCCATGAGGTAACAAATAATATTGTTTTATATACTTTAATATTTTTTCTGTGCAAATACAAATGGATATCTGTGTAAATGTGTATGCCTGTGTGTTATATATTTTGTACTATTGATATACAGGGTTTATATATTTTTTTCTGCTTTCTCACTCAATAGAGGGGTGGGCAAAAGTAGGTTATAATAATAAATAATACAATAATTAGTAATAATACACAAATAAACTCTGTTTTGTGTACTCACAACTGTAAACCTACTTTTATATTAGTAATATTTTTCCATGTCAAAAGGTGACTATTGTAAATAAAGCTGCTATTAACATGAGTATTTAAATATCTTTTTGAAACCCTTTTTAAAATTCTTTAAGGTAAATGCCCACAAGAATTGCTGGATCATATATTTTTAATTTTTGGAGGACCTGCCAAACTGGTCCATAGCACCTGCAGCATTTTACATGCCCACCAACAGTGTGCAAGGATTCCAATTTCTCCATATCCTTGCCAACATTTCTTACTTTCTGTTTGTTTGATAGTAGCCATCCTAATGAGTGTGAGGTGGTCTTTCATTGTGCCAACCTCCTCATTTTACAGAGCAAGTCACTAAGAAATTATTTGTTTACTGGCAGAAGTGAACCAATTTGCTGAATGCTTGTTCACTCAATGCCCAGTTCTCCAAAGGGCCAGTTTATTGAATGACGGTTTTTACTGAATTGGTTCACACAAACTTAGCCAGGTTTCACTCATTATATTCACCAGATTGCTTCACCAAAATCTCATCTTTATTACTTACTTTTAATATATATAGAAAATTGTGTTTCTTGGAATGGTTTCACACCTTTTGAAATTTTCTTTAAGGTTTTATTTAGTGCTGCTAATGCTATTGCAGCTGTTTCATCCCGTTTTTGGATTTGTCAGTCCATCTTTGTAGAATGTCAGTTTCACATTTTAGGCACTGATCACTTCTCAAGTTATCAAAATAGTAATCTAACTGAGCTGGCTAGCAAGTACTTATATTTAGGGAAATACAAAAGACAGTAGAATAAATTGAAGATGTACTGAAAGACAGAACCACATCCTGGGCATTCAACATCTGCACAACATTTGTAAGTCAATATGTCTTAAGAAATTCTCATTCTACAAAGTAATATTCCCAAGTAAAGTCCCAAAGTGTACTGAAATTTGGTAATGGCAAAAGAGCAGCATCCAAATGGCTGAAAACTAAGTAGAAGCTAAATTAGTACTTGGAGAATTGAACAAATTGGCTATATTAAAATTGACCAAAAGTCCTCATCTGCACATATGAAAACAACACTAAATAAGTGGCAGAACCCAGAACTGAGCCTAAATCTTCTAGTCAGCATTTAATCAGTATTTTTTCTGCTATCTCACACTTTTTAAGTTGGAGACATGAAATGGATGCAGATGCACTGCAATGAAAATGCAAGCAATAAAGTTTAAATTATATGAAAATGGATTTCCCCTTCTGACAGACATATATGATATACTAACTAGATCACTTTGGTGGAGAAGGTATCAGAATACTAGCTGAGGGGTTTGGTTAAGTCACAAAGTTCTGATTTAAGAGCGCCAGGACGGAGAGAACCACTACAGTCTGTCTTATGTCTGAAAGAGGGACGTTTGTGCCACCACTGACTGTATCTATCATTTAAGAGTCAGTATGGTCTAATTTTCTTTCTATAATGGAAACTGAATTTTATACATGCAAAAAAGTGAATTAATGGAATGATAGTTGTATGAAAGATGGACAGATATTTGATAGGTAAAGGATAGTAAAATATTAATGGTAGAATTTGGGTATTGGATATGGGGTCTACTGTAAAATTCTTTTGACTTTTGTTATGTTTGAAAGTTTCCATAATAAATATTGGGAAGGGGGGGGGGGAATCCTGAAATTTAGACCCAGCTCTACTACTTAATAACATTGTGATCTTAGAAAAAGCCCTTAAGCTCTGTATAATATAAATAAATAACCTGCTTTTCTATCTTAAATGTTATAAGGATAAAATAATAAAATATATAGGCAATTTTAGGTAATATATAGGTAATTTGAAAGCTATACTCGTCAATAAAAGTGATCAAATAGTGCTGTTATTTTCCCTGTTGGTGGTTTCAGTACCTTTTCTTAGTTCAGATCAGTTTGAAGAGAGGAAGAGAATGTTCTGCTTGGCTTTTTTAATGCCAAAAACTCCCACACAGCCTTCGGCTCTTCTGCCAGGGGACAGGTGGGTCTCGGTTCTCTCTGAAGACCATTGTCCTTATGTTTATAAGGAAGGAAAAAAGCTTAAAAATAAGCATATATATAAAATTGCTTTCTTTTTCAGGAAGCCGTAGGGGACACATTAGAAGAACTATGGATATCCTACAATTTTATTGAGAAGTTGAAAGGAATCCATGTAATGAAGAAATTGAAGATTCTCTACATGTCTAATAACCAGGTGAAAGACTGGGGTAAGCTGAGGCTGGCTCTTTGCTAACTTCTACCTCCTATTTATAGAAAATAGCCCAATAGGGAACAAGGAACAAAAGGAGGACATTTCTTTCTTTTTTTAAAAAATATATTTTATTGATGTTTTACAGAGAGGAAGGGAGAGGGATAGAGAGCTAGAAACATCGATGAGAGAGAAGCATCGATCAGCTGCCTCCTGCACACCCCCCACCGGGGATGTGCCCGCAACCAAGGTACATGCCCTTGACTGGAATCGAACCTGGGACTCTTTAGTCCCCCGGCCGACGCTCTATCCAGTGAGCCAAACCAGCCAGGGCAGGAGGACATTTATTTCTAACCACTGAGGGAAATAGCTAAATGCTTAAAATTTACATCTAAATATTTACTTAGAATGATTTTAATTGAATAGGTTCTGGTCCTATTAATCTTTAAAAAATTAAATTAGCAGAAACCGGTTTGGCTCAGTGGATAGAGCGTCGGCCTGCGGACTGAAAGGTCCCAGGTTCGATTCCGGTCAAGGGCATGTACCTTGGTTGCAGGCACATCCCTAGTAGGAGATGTGCAGGAGGCAGCTGATTGATGTTTCTCTCTCATCGATGTTTCTAACTCTCTATCTCTCTCCCTTCCTCTCTGTAAAAAATCAATAAAATATATTTAAAAAAAAATTAAATTAATTGTCCAAAGGCTGGAAGAAATCAGTTTAAACTTAATAATTCTTGTGTGGACGGCTTATCTGACATCTATATTACTTTGCTTTTGTTTTTTTAATATATTTTGATTTCAGAGAGGAAGAGAGAGGGAGAGAGAGATAAAACATCAATGATGAGAGAGAATAATTGATTAGCTGCCTCCTGTATACCCCACATTGAGGATCGAGCCCGTAACTTAGGTATGTGCTCTGTCCAGAAATTGAACCATGACCTCCTAGTTCATAGGTCGCTGCTCAACCACTGAGCCGGGCTGGCTGGGAGCGTTGCTTTTACATTGTACATTATTTATTCAGTATTTACTAAAGCCCTATTATGTGCATGAACTATAGGCCAGACTCTTGAGATACATAGCTGAATAGGACACTATCTCTGCCTTCAAGGAGTTCACAGGTTAGTGGAAAGGTTAGTTTATCTATACTAATAAAAGGGTAATATGCTAATTAGACCGGACATCTTCCATATGTCCTTCTGGACAAAGCCACAGTGGCAGGGGCCAAGGCAGAGTGGTTAGGGGCAATCAGGAAGGCAGGGGAGAGCAGTTAGGGGCAATCAGGCTGGCAGGCAGAGGTGGTTAGGGGCAATCAGGCAGGCAGGCAGGTGAGCGGTTAAAAGCCAACGATCCTGGATTGCAAGAGGGTGCAGGCCAGGCTGAGGGACACCAGCCCTTCCTTCTCTGCACGAATTTCATGCACTGGGCCTCTAATAAGCTAATAATTGTAAAACTGTGATAAATTCTGCAGTAGAGGCTCCAATGAGTTGCTTTAAGAATTCAAAGATGAGAGAGGGAATAAGTACAGACAGTTTAGCTTAGCCCATACTGATACAATACAACACAGAGAAGACCTATCACTGGTGAATGATTTGTTGGTTTTTGTGTGTGTGTGTGTGTTTTTTTTTTTAATCCTCACCCAGGATATTCCTCCATTGACTTTTTTTAGGGAGAGTGGAAGAGAGAAACATCGATGTGAGAGAAACACATCAATTGGTTGCCTCCTGTATGAGCCCCAACCAGGGCCCTGGGTTGGGGCGGAGCCTGCAACCAAGGTACGTGCTCTTGACCAGAATTGAACCTGGAACCCTTTAGTTCACAGGCCGATGCTCTATCCTCTGAGCCAAACCTGCTAGAGCTATTATTCCTTTTTATTGTAAATTCCATTTCTTCTTCTTATCCTAGCCTTAGGCTAGCATAAAGGTAGAAGAGGTATGTCTTCTTTTTCCCTCCCTTTCTGTAATGTTTTCAGAGAATCAGTCCACATGGTCTAACTACCCTTACTTCCTTCAAAATCTTAAACGACAAATTGTCTTGAATAGTCACCATCAGTGATATTGGAATTCAACCCCGAAAGCATAGCAGTAAAACCTGCCATTTTAATGTGGAAGGTATTCTTTGTACCTGTAGCTGAATTTGTGAAGCTGGCAGAACTGCCCTGCCTGGAAGACCTGGTGTTCGTAGGCAATCCCTTGGAAGAGAAACATTCATCTGAGGGGAACTGGATTGAAGAGGCAACGAAGAGAGTGCCCAGACTGAAAAAGCTTGATGGTAAGTGTCTCTGAGCCAGCTTAGGAGCATTTCATAGGTATAAGAGTTGAATTTATGACATGGAATCATGAAAAGGAGCAAAACTGAAGGAAATGATAGGTTGGCTCTATTCCAAGGCCATTTTTGTCCACAGGAAATTTTATGGTCCAGGTTTGAGCCAGGGTGAAATGAAAAACTTTTAGGAAATTTAAACTGGTATGAGATCATCTCTAGATCAAAAGCTTATAAAAAAAGTTGGGCTTATTCTCAAATCACAGGCACTATTTTGCAGAATAATTAGACATAAATGGTAAGTAACTACTTTTTCACAATTGGATAAAAATTGTAGTGTTCTCTTACCCTCTCCCCCACAAACACACACACAGGATCTAAGGTAGGTGTCTCTGTCAATGGATATCCTTAATTGACTGGGCTCTAATCCCAGTTCTACCACTTAATATCTTTTTTGTCATTGTGGGAGTTACTTAATTTCACCAAACGGTTTTTGTTTTTGAATCTAAAAACTGGAAATGATAATTGTCACAGACCTCTTGGGGTCTTCCCTATTCCCAGTGGTGCTACCAGGAACCCAGGTCAGGATTCCAGCTGTTCCAGAACCCATAAACTTCCTTTTTCTCTGCCAGCCAGGGAAATATCTTTCTAGGAAAACCTATATCTATTCGGAGAAAAACCACTATCCTCTCCTTTTCCACATCATTCTGCATCTCCACACAAACTCTTATCTTCTCAGAGATCTTCTTAGGCTTTTCAAAGACAAAAGCCAGTAAGTCTGACAGTCTTTCTGCTTTCCACACTGCTCCTGAAGCAATGATGCACAGAGCCCATAGCCTACCTATTGTCTTCATCACCATATTCATACCGATATTCACAGTCCAAAACCAAAGGGCCTAGTTGTCTATGGTTGAGGTTTCCTTGTTCCTCAACCCTTCAGTCCCCTCTTCATCACCCCTGTTACTCTGCCATTCTGTCCTTCCTATTCTGGGCCTCTTTATCTCTCCCTCACCACTTCTATCTAAAGGTCAGTACTCAACCCTTTTATCCACCTCAGCTTACTATGGTGGTGGTTCTTCCCCACCCCCACACCCCGAATATTTTTTTTATTAATTTCAGAGAATAAGGGAGAAGGAGAGAGAGAAACATCATGATGCGAGAGAATCATCGATCGGCTGCCTTCTGCATGCCCACATTGGGGATCGAGCCCTGACCAGGGTCAAACTGGGACCTCCTGGTTCATAGGTCGATGCTCAACCACTGAGCCACACCAGCTGGGCTGGAATTAGTTCTTAATTAAGGATAAGGTTTAGATGGAAGGATAGTTGGGGAGGGCATTTCAAAATGGAAGAACTTTGTTAACCAGGAGTCCTGGGGTAAGAGTGTGCAAGATGAGTTTGGGAGACAGTGAGTTTATTAGTTTAGCTGGATTGGAAGGTGACTGGCTAAAGAATTACGATTAAATAGTTGACTAGGTAAGATTGTGGGCAGGTTTCAAATGCTGGAGCTCAGAAGTTCCTTGGTCCAGCCAGTGAGAGCTTGCAGATGTGCTTTGTTTTCTGTACTTTGGTTCTCCCCACCCCCCAATTTATTACCGATGTTTAATATTTGGGGGAATAACATAAAAAATCAGATATACTGGATTGCATATTTTATTGTGAAAAATGAAGAATATTTCTTTGTATTTAACTACAAAGTTTCCGTATATATAGGGCTTTATTTATTTATTTATTTATTTATTATTATATTTCTTATTTGGGGTACCCACTCTTAGCCAATCATGCTGGCTAAGATTGGAAACTGAGATTCAGATAGGAGGAGTCTCTTGCCAAGACCCAGCATGTAGTTCAGTGCTGAAGCTAGTGGTGAGCTTTAGGCCCCTTGCACAGGCTCTCAAGGGCAGTGAGTGTGTATCTTCTCAACTCCACGTTGGGTGATGTCATGTTAGTAGCTCGGAATGGCCATGGTGGGAGTATTTACACCACAGGAAGTGGCAGCTGCTACAAATCACAGCTGGTTATTAAACATTTATCAGTACGTAGTGCTTTATTTTTTATGCCTGGCATCTGTAGGCATTTTTATTTGCAACTCTGCATTTAGAGAGCCATATATTCCTAAGTACTTATATTAATCCCTTTGAGAATTCTCCTGAGAGGCTTTTTGGATCATTTGAAATTAAAGAGATTATTTTATGAAATTACTTTATTATGGCATACTTCACAGCATTTCAGAGCTTCTGAGGTTAACGGGAAAATATTTTCGTTTAGAATTTTAACAGTCTATTGAGAGTGACCAGAAATAATTTTCTTTTTCATTTTAGGTACCCCAGTAATTAAACAGGATGAGGAAGAAGAAAACTAACACCATGTTTTCCACTTCGTGTTAACTTATTTAAATGTCATAAGAACAATAGATAAGTTTTGTATAATTGTCTGTTTTAAAGATTCTGTGTGGAGCGAAAGGTTCTTAAGATAAAACAAATCTATGATGTCTTTTTCTTTTTCTTAACCTATTCAGTGCCCCCTCCCGCCCGCCGCAGATGGTAACACCAACTTTATATATTGTAGTCCTCTTTTTAGAAATTACAAATTTTCAGTTTTTTGTCTTCAGTCTCCATCTACTGAAACCTTTATAGACTGAACAATCATTTTTAACAAAAGAATAAATGTGGTTATTCATTCCATTTTTTTTTAGGTCAGGCAGTTAAATATATATGCTTAACTTTTGAATCTGTAGACCATCTTTCCTAAAGATCCATCCCCTTACGACTCAGAAGCACAAATGTGTCATGCCTTTGGTTCCAAAGGCAGCACGGTGGCAGCAGCCGTAGAAGCAAAACTCCAAAGTCATAGTGAAAAAGCTGTGGTGAAAAAAATGAAAAATTAATATCTTGGAGGCCTTAGCGCCCATGTTATGTTTACTTACTTGGTTTTCAAAAAATATGTACATTGTCAACTGGAATTTAGGTTGTGTGTACATGTGTGGCCACTCAAGTCACTGTGCATAGTCAATCAGTCATTCCGTGATCCAGGTCAGTGGGTAAAGTGACTGTCATGATTATTCCTTTGACTTGCGCTGTGGCCATGTTACCCATGTGGACCTGATCTTAGGCACACTTTTGGGTAAATAGTTCTCTGTATGTTATATAAGGAAATATATATATAAGTGGTAGTTATATTTGGATGCCTAGTCTAAATCTTGGCCATTCATATATATTAAAATTTGCCCTAATAACTTTGATCTGTTGACCACCATGTTGGTAGAAATGATTGTTCTAAGGGTATAGAACTTAAAAACTAGATCTGGTCCCTTTCAATAAATTAAATTTAGTATTTCAAAATATATTTTTAGAAAAGTTCTAAGTTAAACAGCTCTTAAAATGAATTATGTAAGTGGTATTGGAGGGAAAAGAGATGTTTCATTATGGGATCCCAGGCAAATGGCAATATTTTTGAAGATTGCTTCCTCTGTAAAGCATTGTAGGTGATTTAACCTCAAAATTACAGAGCAATAGTTGGATGCAGAGTTTAGAATTTATCACATAAGAAAAAAATTCTTTTTTGAGAATGCAAGATATGGTAGTCAGTAACCAGATGAAGTCCATAGTAAGCCACGACCAAATCAGTGATAGATTGCAGTAAGGAAGTCAGAGGCCCTCTGCCAAATTGTGCCTGAAGTCCCTCAACCAGAGACTATTGATTTTCATTTCCCCATTTACTTGTGTAAAAATGAGTCAAAAACTGATTACATAAGTAGTACTGGGTTTCAGAAATTTTCAGTTATCATTTAAATAGGAATTACATGATTTCTCAGTCATGCTGATCAAAATGGACCACTGCTTCGACAATCAATCCTAAAAAGGAAAAATTAGCCCAACATTTTTTTTTAGCTTCCTTTTAGCTCTTCCTCACAATCTGATAGGAAGAAATCTTAACTCTGACTTACACTTTCAAAAAGCCTTTGGGTCTTAGCTTCTGGGACCCAAAGTTTTCTTGTAGTATGAACTTCATGTAGTAGGCAGACTTGAAGCCATATTGCTATGTATGGGTGTATTTTCTAAAAGTTATTCTGGAAGTGACTATAATAGGGAATGGATGACTTCATAGTTAATTTTTTTAATGGCTTACAGTCTTATTTTTAGTTCTGCAATAGAGAAACTAATTTTCTCTCTTTCACCTTGTTCTCTCTCTCTCTCTCTCTCTCTCTCTCTCTCCCTCTCTCTCTTTTAGAGAGGAGGGGAGAGGGAGAGATAGAAACATCAATGATGAGAATTATTGATAGGCTGCCTCTTGCATGCCCCCTACTGAGGACAGAGCCTGCAGCCTGGGCATGTGCCCTGACCAGGATTTGAACCGTGACCTTCTGGTTCATAAGTCCACCCTCAACCACTATGCCATACCAGCTGGGCCCCTTTGTTTCTAAATGTCTTTTAATCACTGTAGTTCCCAGAGAAATGTAAGATGCTTTTCTGTGTCCATTTCACAAAATATCCATAGTCAGTTCCACTCAACAAATATTTGAATGACTTCTTTGTATTCTTTTCGTGGAATGAAACTAAGAATCCACTAGGAAACAGAAGATAGAAAATAGAAGATAGAGTGTATTAAGAAGTTCAGAATATTCTCTCAAATCATTCCTTAACTCATCCTTTACTGCTGCAAATTTAGCTGATATTAAATGCCTTTAATTTGTGCTTTTTGGATTAGATCTTTAACCTACTTGTAATGGATTCTCTCTGTGCTCCTGGTTTGAAGCGTTATGCCATTTTAGTGGATCGTTTAAATTTCTTCTATTCTTGCAATGATGGTAGAGCTCTGGAATCAGTTCAGTATTTTAATATTTCCACAGGAAATTTTAGTCTACCAAGTAATTAACCTTTTCTGTGTTCCCTAACTGTATTACCTAGTCAGGCCTTGAATGTTTTTGTGTTCTCTGTTAATAGGAGTTTGTTCCTTTAAATCAGAGTCAACCTTGGCACTATCAACATTTGGGCTTGATAATGTTGGAGGGCTGTCCTGTGTGTACAGGATGTTTAGCAGCATGTCTGGCTTCTACTTACTAGAAGAACCCTCTTCTCAGCTGTGATAACCAGAAATGTCTTCATGCGTTGCCATTTGTCCCCTGGGCTAGATGGGCTGGAATAAATCCACCCATAATTAAGAACCAGTGCTTTACTCCAACATTCCTTTTATCCAGTGCCCATTTATTCTCACTCTGTAGCCATATGGCACCTGAGTTATTACAGGAGAGAAGGTGGTGTGTTTAGTAATCACGGGGGAAGTAAATGTTCATTGGTGTTTCCCTTCTTTGTAATGCTCACTTTAACAATTCTCACAACACATTAGAAACTCAGGACTGGAGAGTTCGACTTATTTTTCCCCCCAGCAGGACCTCAACTTTTATGTCGTATCTTAGCATTTTGCTTGTCTTAGGATAGTGATTATTAACCTACCTCTCTCTTACTATCAACAGAATCCAAGTTTATGGTAGATTTTGCTTTGTCTCTAAAATTTAACATTTTAAGTATACTTTAGAAAATGCATGTCATTTTTTAAGTGTTCATTCATTGTCGAGTCATGCACAGGATTTTACAGACTAGCAGTCATTAAATACAGAAAAATATTGTATAAAATTTGGTAATCATATATGAAAGTTAGCTGGTGTGGACACCAGTTTTGGATGTGATCAGAAGAAGCATGTCTGGTTACTGGATCCATTCCACAAATAGGGGTGGTGTAAGCACTTAAATGTGGTTCCTGTTTGGAAAGAGAAATTTTGACTTGAACAGAAACTTCTTCTGATACTTTCACCCGTGGGCTGAAGTAGACTGAGGAGGAATAAGAAATGAATCTTAATTGTTGACTTATTGTCAGAATTGGTGATATGTAAGTAGAGTTGAAGGTAGTTATCTGTGACCCAGAATCTTTTGCCTGGGCTTTTCTTGGGACTAAATGGAGAAAGTGTAGAGCTAGAAAGGTTGGATTTAATCATTAATTTTAAAGATTGGGGGAAATGTCAAGCATCGATCACAAGTTGTGTCTAACTGCAGTCTGACTTAGTCACAAAGACTTTACATTGTAAGTGGTGGTAAAGGGAGAAAGCTAACAGCTAACCTGGGCTGCTTACTGTGTCTGTAAATAGTCAAGTATAAAGCAAGCTGTAGTGTAGCAGAGTTGGTGTTTCTGACACAGCTAACTTGACCATATTCCTTTATCTTCACTCTAGCTTGAGTTGTTTTTTGTAAAACCATAAAATAGGTGCAATGAAAAGATTTAAGGGTATTTTTTTTAAATCACTGAACTTTAGAAATTTCACATCTATATCTCTATTCCTGCCTTTTTATAAACCAGTGACTGCAAAGGAAGAAAACTGAAAGGAAAAACTAAACTGAGTCTTACCTTTTCTGACCTAAGATAAATTTTCACTTGACTCGTGGAAAAGTCATAACTGGATTCTAGTTAATTTCCCATATTGGGCAGGTTAGAGAGGAACCAGCCAACCAAATTATGATCTGCAAATTGAACAAGGGGATGGGGAGAGTACACTATTTTTCAGTAGATTTGCACTTTAAGATTATGAAATGGATGTTGGTTGAAAATACTCCCAAAGGGCACATAGGTTAATACCTTGCCTGCATGTGGATATTACAGTCAAACCCATTCTTGCTCGCATTAGGCCCACCTCTGCAGTAGTTGTCTGTTGACATAATCAGAGCTGGGATTCCCCTATTCCCCTAGTTGGTGTCGCCTTCCATGTCTGCTGCATTGGCAGTCAGCCTTGCGGGGACATGTCAAGTACAGTTCTCCTGCTCAAACTTTATGAGTTATCTTTCCTACGTCTAGTTTTAAAAAATTTAGATGTTGGCTAAATTAAGTTGTGGCTAATGTTAGGGAGGGTAGGAAGTTATTTGCTTCTTTGATCAGCAGGATCCCTGCCTCTGAGGTGCGATTGCCTCAGGGATCAATCCCATCAACAGACTGGGGGGTTGGTAGCTGTAAGGAATATACATTTGCCAGCTACTTCTCCCAGCGTGGCAGTCATGATCACGAGCATCATTCCAGAATCTTTGGCTTCTAGAACCAACTCCATTCTGAAGAACATTTTAACATCCATTAACATCTATTCATACTTTGGTAATTATCTTTTATATGCAGGAATTTTGTAGCATGAACTTTATGACTAAAGTTATTGTGTTAAATTATTTAGAAATGTTGAGTTTCTGAACGTTATTTTGTGAGACTTGTTTTAAAATAGTAATAAATTGTGTTATTTTATAAAAACTAATTTGTATCTTTTTTTGTTACATAACCATTAGTTTTAGCTAATAAAGAGCACTATCTGAACTTTGAATATTCAATTCCAAAATAATTGTCTTTGGATAACATATTCCACAGCTTCGTATGTGTGTGTGTGTGTGTGTGTGTGTGTGTGTACATGTGTGAGTGAGGGAGAGACTGACTCATTTCTTTA